TATATAATATAATATAATATGTTTGTATCACAATTTTATTATTTATTGAAGTTTAAACAATTAAATGTTGCAACTTGCAAAGCAAAATTTATATGCATATATACCAAATATAAGTGTTGCAGATGACTGTATACAACAAATCAGTTACCAATAAGTTTATGATAAAAAAAAATGACATGATTAATGTGTTTGTGCATTTGTATTTGTATGCTCCAGCTTCCGGTTACCTTTTTGGATTCCAGCTATATATTTTTAACGAATAAAGTAGAGAAGATTTAAGTGAGTTAATATGAAAATATGAGAATAATTATAAAAAAAATTATTAGATTAAATTAAATGATTTATATTAAAAGATTTTATTATGTATCGTTGTAGATTTGTTTATTATTCTTGTTTTTATTTTTTGTTCTTGCAACCACCATTACTTTTATCACATTGTTGCCACATCTATAGTATAATTGTCTCTACCGCTACCACATCTGCCGTATTTGTCATCATATTATTATTGTTGTCACTGTTATTGTTATCATTGTCATTATTATCGTCATTGTTACAATAACAACTGTTACTATCATCACCACTTCTATTGGTGCTATTGCCACTATCATTGTCACCACCACCAATGGTGAGGGAAGAGAAAATGACAACGGTAGCAGTAGTGATAGGGACAAGGGTAACGATGTTGGCAGTGTTGGTGGTAATGATGTGGTGAATATACGGTAAAAGTGGAAGTGATGGATTTAATGACAACAATATAGAAAAAAAATATAATAACAGTGATACATGATAGTTTTATATATAATTTTTTAGTCTAAATCATCTATTTTAATCTAAAAATTATTATTAGTTGTTCTTGTTTTCTTATATTAAGCAGTGTTTTTATTAACAAATGATAATTTACCAAAATAACAATAAACTAGTTCATAAATATATTATAATTTTTTTAATTATTTAAGAGACTCAAATGCACTTATTGTTTGATATAGGTAATAAGTTATGAGTTAATTATCTATACACTGTCAGTGTAAAGCTTTTTTATACTGACAACCAATTAGATCTTTTAATTGTGTCATATCATTATAAACACATTTACTTTTAACAGTGACATGACACAATTAAAAGATTTAATTAGTTATTTATGTAAAAAAACTTTATACTGACAGTGTATAAGTAATTAACTCATAAGTTATTACCAAAGTACACAAACACAAACTAAACATAAAAAAAATAAAAAAGAAGAAGACAAACACACACTAGGTGTCTGGTTAAGGTATATTAGGTTATATATGGGGCGGTTTAACAAATACATGTACTAGTAACCAGATACAAATATTAAAATTTATACTTTTGTCATGTGATAGGTTATATCATAATTTTAAAAATAAAAAAGTAATTTACTTTCATAAGTTATATTATTTAAAAGTATATATTAAAAGTTTTTAGTCTACATTAAATAAGTAAGTTTTGATATTATTATTTTTTATAAAAATTTATATTTTTTATTTCTTTAAAATTTGAAACCATTATTTTATAATTTTATAAAATGAGAAAATTTTAATTTTAGTTCTTATATAAAAAAAAAATTTCACTCTTTATAAATTTTGAAATCATTATTCTTAACTCCAGACGATCTTTTTAAAGTAGATCAATATTCATTTAATAGATTTAGAAAAATTTTAGAGATGTTACATGTTATCATAATACTACACATACTAGTGAGCATCACTTACTATTTAATTAAACACATATGAGATTAATCGGTGTCACATAACAATAGAAATAAAATAATAATTTTATATTTGGAAGATGAAAATATAAAAAAATTATAAAAAGCAAAGATAAAATTCTTTTATTGTATATAAGAATTAAAAATATATTTAGCACGTTAAAATAACACCATATCTAGAGTGTGCGTAATATTGAGCCTTTGGCCACATGCTGTATGTATTATTCCTAATGCTAAAAGAATAATTTAGATATTTTATATCTTTTTTTTAAAAAGAGAGTATGTATGTTTATACGAGAGTGGAGATGTGTTTATCATCTGCCTAAGCTGAATCCTACAGTTTGAAGAATGTGTATTGGGCCTTCGGCCATATTTAAAAAAAAAAAAAAGAGTACAATACGATACGGGTCTCGTTCAACGTTACTAAATTAGTTTTTTCTTATAACTAATAAATAAAAGAAAAATATAATAGTTAGTGCCCCTAAAATGGTAAAAGAGTTGGTGGTTTTATTAAGATTTGGCGTGTTGCGTAGCTGAAGATATGCTTGGAGAGGAGGAAGAAGAAGAAGAGAATTCCTTTTGTTTTCTTCAGCTAATCCGCTCATTCACTTCGTCCTCATCTTCACTCTAACCGCCTTTCCAATTCTAACGCCGCCATGGCCTCCCAATCGCAGTCGCAGCCTCAGCCTCAGCCTCCTCCCACTCCCACCGCCACTACCAATCAAGGTTTTTATTTCTTTCTCTCTTTTTCAACATTCACTTCGCATTTCTTATCATTCGAGCTTAGCACTTTCTTGATTCCTCTTTTCACTTTGAATAACAGTTTTTTGCTTTCTCGTGTTTAGTCGCGCACCTCGCACGTGTAATATCCGTTACAAATAAAAAAGAAAGTGAATTATGATATCACTTTTTCCACTCCACACAATCACAGTCCCATGCTGTTTGAAATGAAATTATGATATGACTTTATCAACGACGGATTTTATTTTTAAACCAAATTAATTCACGAAATTTGTGGTTGCGGACGTGCTATTGTGGGTGTCAAAAGGTTGCAAAGTAGGACTATAGCTCTAAAGTTTATAATGGAATGGGACGTTTTTAATGTTATCAGTCCGCATGCTCACACTTATGCACGATATAGGGTTAGTTAGAAGAGAACAGGAGATAATATTCTTGGAGGACTTAAAAGGTTTTGTTCAGAAAAATATCATTTGGAAATATGCTTTTCCTAGGAGATACAAGGTCATGTGGGTGGGCTTAGAGGATGTGGAGTTTGGACGAGGGTAGGATGGTATAGGGGAAGCAAATGCAGAGGATTAAATTCTATATTTTGCTTTAGCTTTTGAACTTACATACTCTAGCTAAAACTTGTTTTAGGAAAATCGAGGAGCATTTCTGTGATAAAAAAAGTCGAATAGAAAGCTTTGCATGGAGTGAAAAGTCATACTTGGAGAGAGCTTGATTACCCAGCAAAGGGTCTAGGTTGTAGCCCTTTGGATGTATGAATCAAGAGTAGAGTAACTAGAAATGGTATAGGGTTTCAAAGATCAAATGGGTTAAAAACATAAGAGCTTTCAAAGGGGTTTTGTGAGGCACATGATAGTGCTAACAATAGGTGGAATAAGATGACTAAAGGTATTAGGATGGTAATAAATGAGACACCCAGTGACATGTCATAAGGATTGTTGAGAGATCCCACATCAACTATAGATATATATGACTAAAGTAGAGTTTATAAAGGTCTGGGCAATCCTCACTTCATGAGTTAGCTTTTGAGGTTAAGTTAGGCCTAGTGGCCTAAATTCAAGAATGATGAAGTGGATAAAGTTTTAATCACAGGACAAGATATCAAGGATCAGTGGAAGAGTTACTATTCAGAAGCTATTTAATGAAAGATGCTTATTCCATTGCACTTTGATCGACTAAATGCTACAGAAAAAGAACACCAAAATTTTATACCTTCTATTGTAGACTTCAAGAATTTGAGGTAAAAGAAGCATTGAATAGGATGGATACTGACAAAGTGTTATGGAAGGATCGAAGAGAATAAGTGTTGGAGATCCTATATTGACTAGTGAGATGAACATACTACTGTATATAAGTGGAGAGTAATCCTCACCTTACAAGTCGATTTTATAAGGTTAAGTTAAGCTCTAAATTACTTTCTTAAGATACTATTAGAACTCATCTTAGTGATTATTGATTGTGGTTGGACTTATCAGGTCACTCGTAGTCGTAGATGTCAAATCCACCAAACTTCTCGCTCGATATGTTTAGTATTCAACGTGAGGGTAGTGTGGTGAAGATCTCACATTGGTTAGTGAGATGACCATACTAGTGTATATAAGTGGGCAATCCTCACATTTCAAGCTGATTTTGTAAGGTAGAGTTAGATTCCAAACTACTTTCTTAAGAATAAGGCCTAGTATGACTCAAAGTTGTTTAACGTGATTATAAGGTTTAAGATCTTGCTGGATGAATGAAGAACTACTTCGATCCCTATCTATAAGAACAAAGGTGATATACAAAATTGCACAAATTTCTGGGGGGTTAAACTCATGAGCCATACCTTTAAGCTATTATTTTCTCTGGTTATGTGCCTAAACTATAACACGACAAAACATCCTTTACTGTGGGTACATTACTAATAATTACAAACTTAACCAAGAAGGTGCATAACGATGTTACGATAATTATATTTGTCGACAGATTCTGTCATGAACCAACAATACCAAAAGCTTAAGTTGTCAAGACTCACAAATGGTTTTTATATTACATCTCTACCAGATTCCTTGTTTTTCTTATATCAAAGATTTAGTTGCCTACTTCATTTTATTTTGAAATCCTGGCTATTGAATATTTGCATGCTTGATTGGAAATGCTAGTGGAATGTTTCAGATAAATTATTTAGTTTTGAGTATTATAAAGTTGATTTGCTGAGTCTCTTTTTTGAGGTTTAGGTTCTGAAGTTGTGCAACCAACAAATGTGGATCAGAAAAATGCTAGAGAAGAGCCTGCTAAACAGAGTTCAATTACATCAGTTTTTGTGAACTCACAACCGTTGCGGGAAGAACAAGTTCAGAATGCTGTGAAATTTCTATCGCACCCAAAAGTTAGAGGTTCACCTGTCATCTATAGGCGATCATTTTTAGAGAGGAAGGGCCTTACAAAGGAGGAGATTGATGAAGCCTTTCGGCTTGTTCCAGTAAGCTAGTTTTTTTCTCAGTTATTTTATTACTTACTCAATTTTCTAGACTGCTCTTTCTCAGGCAACCATTTGACTATCAGTTTATCAATTTCTTGTATGTTCATCTGTTTTAATCCTTACCTTTTCTTTAAATCACAGGATTCAGCTCCAACTGTGCAGACATCTGGTGTAAATCAAGGTGAAGTGTCTAATATTGAAATTTTCCTTTGTACCTTTAGGTTGAGTTAAACTGCATGTGAGATCTCCATTTAACTAGTTTTTCAATAAAGCTGGATTTGTTCTTGCTGAAGTTATGCTTCGAACATGGTTTATTGTAATGGTAACAGATGAGCAAATGAAATCATCATCAAACATTCAGCAACAGTCCCAACAACAAACATTGCAGCCAAGTCTTCCTGCTTCTACTGGTGTTAATACTTCATCAGGAACCTTATCACGCTCCAGATTTCACTGGTCCCATGCCCTTATTGCAGTTGGATTACTGGCTGCTTCAGGTGCTGGAACAGCTATAATAATTAAGGTATTACTATTACCACCTACTGTCATTCATGATGTCTTCTAAATTAGTATTTTAATGGATGAATGCTTATTGTTATTGCTGTACTATGTTCCATTTTTTATTGACATTTTATATCCTTTCTTGTACTTAATATATTGCTACGTGCACAACTTTTATCACATTGCTGTTTGATCTGCACTGAACTTTGGAAGCTTGCTCCATGTTTTAGAATTCTATTCTCCCTCGGTTAAAATCTTGGGTACGCAAGGTTGTCTTAGACAATGATGATGAACAATTAAAGAAAAATGACAACAAACCAACAGTGATGGAAGAAGCTGCACAAGCTGCAAAATCAGCTGCAGCTGCAGCTGCTGATGTGGCAAAAGCAAGCCAAGAAATACTGGCTTCAAAAGGGGAAGGGGGGGTTATAGAACTTTAGTTTGCATGCTATAAAATGTCTTTGATTTGTTTCAAGACTCGTACTCTCCTTGGACATCTCGTATTTAAGAGAAATGACTGTAGTTATTGCTGCATCTGGTTTTAATGTTTTATACTTTACAGAGAGGAGATACTTCACGGAAGTTGTGGGCCTTTTAGATAAGCAAGTACAAGAAATGAAGTTAATGACAAATGCCATAAGAAGATTGGAAGGTAATTGAGCAAGCCAAGAAATACTGGCTTCAAAAGGTGAAGGTGGGTTTATAGAACTTTAGTTTGCATGCTATAAAATGTCTTTGATTTGTTTCAAGACTCGTACTCTCCTTGGACATCTCGTATTTAAGAGAAATGACTGTAGTTATTGCTGCATCTGGTTTTAATGTTTTATACTTTACAGAGAGGAGATACTTCACGGAAGTTGTGGGCCTTTTAGATAAGCAAGTACAAGAAATGAAGTTAATGACAAATGCCATAAGAAGATTGGAAGGTAATTGAGCATTTCCATTTAATCTAATGGACTGAGATGAGAAGTTTCCATTTCCAATGCTTTGAATATTTTATACAGGCTAGGGTTGATTTATGATTTGCCAATAGCGTTGCAAATTTGTCAAAGAATGCATGTGGTGTAATCGAGGAACTTGTATATTTACGACCCCTAAAAAGCCAATGAAATGGCTCATGGTGACCAAGAGCTTTGACAAATATTATGTACATTTTAACTATTCTAATAGGATTTCTAGCATCATGATTCCCTTGAGTTCAATTCATCCAAATATAGGAAGCTTATTGATAAATTTTGATGGCTTATCATGTCCAAAGTTTTAGCAGATTTATGTTGGAAGTTTTAAACAATTATTCAGTTTTATTTTTATTTTAAGTTCTTATTATATCCAATTCTGCTAAATTGTGGACAAAATTATACCTCCTAACAGAACTTCTGTCTCAGGACAAGAAGAACTTCGAATTAGTCAAACAAGTTCAAAGGTCAGATATAAATAGACTTAGATGTGGACCATCTCAGTATCTTTAATGAAATTTTGCCACTGCTAATCCTCATTTAAGTTGTATAAAATAAAATTTGACTTTTGACAACTGTAATTTTTTTTAAATATATGCAGCAACTGATTGACATGCGTTCAGGTTATCATATTGGTGATCAAGTCTCACCTCTAATTAGTCTTATTTTCTGAATTATTGCCTATAATTAGAATATCATGTGCAGTGAGATCTTCATCCCCACCTGTATCTGTTGAACCATCAAGTGGTCTTCATCCAAAGTCATATATGGAGGTAGTAATTATCTTGGTTTTTAATTATCTCTTTTTTCTTCCCCTGCTTTGCCTTTTATTTATGGATCATATTGGCATGGTTATGAATTATCATTTTTGATCGTGTCTTCAGAGTCACTTTTATAGTAATCAACATGTAACGTTTAGGGGTTAAATACTTTGGGATTTGACTATAACTTTTCTATTGTGGCCACCAAAACTGCCCAAGTCAGCACAGCTAATTGAACTGAATGACCCTTAAATGCTTTGGGATTTGACTAAAACTTTTTATGTATACGTTGATTTGGGAGCACCTAATAAAATACTAGTTTTTTATTGTGTGAGATTATTAATTGAATAGAATACTAGTTGTGTTGCTATATTGTTATATTGTATACATTGATTACTGATTATATTGTATACACTAATTGTATTGCTACTTTATTATTGTAGTTTGCTATTTTGCTTTATTATAAGGTTTAAATATTGAATTATGTTGTTATAGGAATTTTAATAATTTTTTATACCAAGTAAACTCTTACTAGCCAAGTTTACGGAGCTTTCGCGAGTTTGTATAAACCCTGAAGTTTAGTTTGACAACCTTGTCTGCTGACCATAAACTTCCTCTGTTGATTTGCCAATAACATTGTGGGCTTATATGGGGTCTGAAATACCATTTGTTCAAACATTGATTTTAGTCATAGTGTATTAAATTTACCTTTAGAATTAGAATTATTGAACGCACCCTACCCTGTAGTCCAAATTATAGAAGTTAATTTTTTGCGAATGCTCATTAAGTAGCAAACTGAGACCAATGCTAGGAGGGGAGAAACATGGAATGCATTCAAATTGGCTGAATTTGCAGTCTGGGTTGCATGTGTTTAATGGAGAAATAAGGTTGGAATTCAAGGGTCTGTCACTGCCCTCACAGCAGAGAAGAGGAACAAGTTTCTAAAGAGTTAGGATAGCTGACATGATGAGATTGGAGAGGGAATGGTTTGTGGGGGAGAGTGAAAAATGGGTAGGCAAGAATTGAGAGGTTTAGGGTAGGAATTCTCTATGCATCACAGGACCCCATTATTATCTTTCGTTTTCTTTTTTCTGCATTTTTCCCGAGAATTATGTATTTACAGAGTTTTACCTTCAAGTAAAGTGGCTAGTCTTCAATATATCTACCCATAATTTCCAGTTCCTATCTCAAACACTTCACAAGGGATTGCATAGTACATCTGAAAACCTTGAATAGATACACTTTTTAGCAATGTTCTGATGAAAAGCTCAACTGGTTGAATGGGCTAATTCAGTCTGAATGAGGCAGCCATGCTTTTAGGAAACTGTTTTTTATGTGCATTTTTTCTGCCTCAAATAAATGCATCCACTTTTGGAAGTGCATTCCCTCAAAATGATGGTTTTTGATGTCTGTCATGAGGATAAGGATGTAAACATCGGAAATTTCTAGTACGCAGCAGCTCATGTAGTACATGAAACTATGAAAGTGTTCACTGCCTTATTTTTGACATCTGCGTAGTAAATAGTGCGTGGTTTCTTCATATTTGATGGAATAGATACAAAGTGATATTTATTTATCTTTTTAAGGTTTTCTTACAAGCTTTACATTTTTTTGTTGCAGATAATGGCCATGGTCCAAAGAGGAGAGAAGCCTTCCAATAATAGAGTAAATCTTTATGCTTTTTAATCTTGATAAACTTAGCTGCATCATAAATCATACACTTTGTGCACCATCAATATAAAATTATATAAAAAGTTTAATTGACTTGAAAGTAATTAAAGTTTGACATGTGAAGAGAGGTGTTACTGTGGAGAAGATTATGGTGTACAAATAAGATTATTCTTCCAAAGGAATGGATCCTTCCATGTACATGATAAGTTATGTTTAATTAAAGTAGACACAAGATGTCAACATGCAACAACAAAAACCTTATCATCCCATTAGGTAAGGTTGACAACAACAAAAGATTTGAACATGCCTTATCTCTTGTTTACTGGGTTTTCCAATTTTATGTGGCCACTGTTACTTTTATAAAAACATTGGGCCTCAATGCAGAATATCAATGATTTACTTCCCAACCCTAGTAAACAGAAGTTTAGTACCTAGAGCCAAGGTTTATTAACAAAGTGCTTTACATTTCCTAAATATTTTAGGTTTATGAAGATTTTGATTTGACTGAGTTACATAAGTCCCAACTTTTTGAGCTTCATTTTGGTCATTTTTAAGGATTTTCTGCAGCGTGATGGCTTCAAGATTTTTGTAACCTGATTACTGAACACATTTGTGAAGACATGTCCTACGATTGGATGATCATTAAGGAGAAAACTAGTGATCAATTTAATCTCTAGATTATGTTTTTCCGAGATGATAATATTTAAACTACAGAAGCTGAATACTTAAGTTTGTGATTATCTACTGTTTGAAAACGTCAAATTACTGGGGTAGATCTAAAATGGTCCTTATTTTCTTTAGAAATGAACTGAAGTTTTTTAGACTACATGGTTTGGCCGCTACATCTGATTGAAGTTATTTAGGCGAAAATGGGAAAAAAAAGGGTCGGAAAGTCGTGGAAAATGTATAATTTGTTACATTCATTAGGACACCCAGGCTAAATGGGAGGTCTTCTTGTCTTTAATCCGAAAGATATGATATGAATCTAGTTATGGTGTCTTCTAATTAACCCATAAGTGGTGTCTTTTACAGACACACAGACACACGAAACAGCAACATTCCTTTCTTGGTGGTATTATTTCATATGAATCTGATTTTATGGTTCCATTTCTCCTTGCTATAGCCATGGGAGGTTGGTCAGGTGCAAAGCACGTCTACCCAGATCCTTCAATCTCAAGTAAATGGTGAAGACTTGAATACCAAGGCCCAGGGTATCCCTCAATTAAACGGTGATGACCCATTGCCCTGGTGGCAGAGGAAAAATGTCAGAATCAGAGAGATTGATAATGAAAATGAATATAATGGAGTACCTTATGCTGCTTCATCCAGTCAGCAGCCAGTGCAACAGCCAGTTCAACGCACATGGGTTCCTCCTCAACCGCCCCCCATAGTTATGGCGGAGGCTGCAGAAGCAATCAGACGCCCAAAGCCAGCAGTTCAAAAGGAACAGATGTCAGATAATCAGTCAGTGACTCATTCTTCCGATGGCTCTGATGACACGCATAGTGTCTCAAAACCATTGGAATCTGAAGGTGCGGTAGAGGGCAGCAGTTTTAACTCAGTTTCCAGCTCTGGTGAGATACAAGAGGAGCATGAAGTCAAATATGATGAGAAATAAAGGTGAATCCTGATCTATCATGAAAAACATGAAGTCGGAAATAACACTTGTAGTAGTTCCAAATTCTGGATAAGCTTGCCACAATCTCTTTGTTTCATAATCATCATATATACTCTGTACTTTGAACTGGACATCGATACAAGATGCAAATGCACTTACGCACCTGCCTTTCTATGCAAGAATTATGTTTTCTACAACTGAGTGCAGTTAGTGTACGCAGCGGTAAAATATACGTGCGGAATATAATAATATCTTGTATTCAAATATTTAAAATGTCTAAAACGAAGTATTTTGCTAGAATGCTGCGAAGCAAATCTATTACAAACTAATGGCAACGCGAAGGATAAATCCGAAGTTGATCAAACTAGCAGTGAAAATTGTCTTCAGCTAAGGAACAAATGATTCAGGGAGGGCTTTGACGAATTTTTGAAGAGTTTTTACAGAAAAGACGAATGAAGAAAAAGAACATGGCAAAGTACAAGACTGAAGACTTTATCTATTTTTAATTTTTGTTTGTTATCTTCTATATTTTGGACCAAACATAACACATCATCTTGATGTGAAATATTAATGAAAATCTTAGTATTTTTATCGTCTTGATCATAGTATTCATCTTTTATTTGCTTAAAATATTTTGAATGCTTGACTGTTATATTCTACTATAATGCTCAAATATAACTTATTTTGTTCTGAAAAATGCTTTGATGTAATCCTCTCTATATTTCTTTTTGATCCGATATAATCATGCTCTAAGATATCCATTTTCTATATTTCCTTTTAGATGATCCGATATGTATCTTGTCATGTAAATAGACTATAGCTTTATGTATAATGTATAACCATTTTAGCTCAAGTAATTTTGACTCAAGATCTGATCGTCTGTGTTAAAAACAAGGCTTTATATGTTGATAAACCTTTTCTAGCTTGAAAAAGGATGTTTGACTAAGTTTGCTAAAAATGAAACATGTTTTTTCTTATATAATATGTTACAGACTCTACATAAATTAAAATTGATTTCATCTTTTTATAGTGTTATTTACATTTTATATTTCTTTCTTTTTTGACTGCTACATTTTATATTTCTTAGAATACATATTTTACTAAAGTTTTCTATTTTGTCTTATATATTTGTTTATGATCATTAAAAAAGAGGAAGATTGTTAGGTCCAAAGTTAAAACTTTGTTTTTAATCCTTTTGTTTATAATGAAATTGTATTAAGGATTAGACCTAGTTAAAACTTTGTTTTTGATCCTTTTGTTTATAATGAAATCATTGGTGGTGTATTAAGGATTAGACCTAGTCTACGAGTGAACGAATTGATATAAATTTATCATATGCTTTTCTCTATCTCTTATCTTTTATCACTAACTAAGAAAGTTGATATTATAGCTAAGAACATTTGTTTTATAACTAAAGATTTTAGGAAGTTATTTCCAACAAAGACCAAGCAAGCATTTGTCTATTCATCAAAAGTGTTTATAAAATATTTGTACAAATTTCTGGAAACATATTTCAATAATTTTTCTCATGTTTCCCGATATTGAATAATGTTCATTTACAATGTGATTTGTCTCGATCTTTTTAACACATTTTTAAAGCAAACATTAATACCAAACAATTCAAAATACTTATAATTTGATTGTGAAAATTATTATCATTAATTATTTTTAGAGGGATCTTATACTTGACATAATTGTCTGATTTATAATCACTTGTGTCATGAGTGTTGCTTGAAATTGTCCTTTTATCATTGACAATGTTTATCACTTTATTTTTATTTTTATTTTTTATTTTTATAGTTTATGATCTCCTTAATGTCTTCTTAAGTACACTTTAGTATAATTACTTGAATAAATTAATTGATTGAATGGAATTTTTCAAGTATGATTGTTGATGTAGATGTAGATCAAATGATTCAAGAACATGATTTTAAGATTAATGAGCGATGCTTTAATAGTTAAGTTAATCGGTGTTATTATTTATCTTTACTGCATATTTATACAACTTAATATAGTTTATAATTTATATGATTTTATTCATTTTATCATTTGTTATGATTAAAATAAAGTTGAGAGTTTTAAGTAAAAGAAATAATCTCTTCCCTTCTTATTATAAGACATAATTTAAAACAAAATAGTGATTATTTTTATAAAATATTTTACAATTTTTATAAAGTATTAATTTTTTTTTAATCTTTTATCTTCCTATTAAATATTTCTAGAATATATGTTTCTTGTTGTTGGATAATGAAAAGAAAATTTGATAAATAAATTTTTTTCCTCATCTCTTAAACTCTTCGATGGCCATTTATCAAATTCACTAATATTGGTGTATAAACTTTAATAAGAAGTAATAGTTTCATCTTTCCTATGAAAATTTAATAAGTAAGAAAAGTAAAATTAGTACATTGTGATTTTATTTTAATAAAATCAACTAACATAACTACTTATGTGATTTGATTAAAAAGTGTCTTGTAATAATATAATAATAATATAGTGGAGTATGATTTAGACTTAATTATAATGATTAAAAAACTAAGAGACTGAAAGAGTTTTTGGTAGGTGAAAACCATGAAAGAGAAATAATAAAAATAATTATGAATATCACATATTTTATTTCATTGTTTAATTTAGTGAAAATTTGATATCAACAACATTTTGCCATATATTTTAAGGCGGTTTTATTTATGAGTTATAAATCATTATAAATTATTTGACTAAATCATCATAAATGCTTCACAACTTTTTCACATATATTTTCTATAAAAAAAAAATAGTTGTTTAAAATTATCAAAGACATATAAAACCAAAAAAAGAAATAATGAATTTTCAAAAATCATAATTCAAAGTTTTGACCCTTAACAATTGATCGTTATTTTCAACAATCAACTATCTTATAATATTTTTCTTTTGCTATTTCTTCTCTAATTTTCTTTACTTGTCTCAAAACTCTAAAAATCTACTATTATAAGTCTCACCTATTTTTATCTATCCATGTTTTCTTCTGCACAATTTATTTTGTTTCTTACCAAAGTGTATGAGAACGTAAAGGTATCGTGAATTCCACCCTTTCTTTTGTTCCTTGTAGCTCTACATATCGTTAGTTTGCTTTCCACGGTACAACTCATTATAGTATAATCAAATTTAAATCATTCTTTCATAATAATATTCAGTATTTTTGACCATTTGTAAGCAAGTGGCACCGTCACACAGAATTTAGTCCATTCTATGACTATCAATACCAAAAGAAAAATAAAGAAAATAAATATTTTTTCCGTTTCATAATTAGTGTAATATTTAAAATTAAAAAAAATTAAGATATGTATTATGTTAACTTTTTAATGTAAGATAAGAGATAAATATAAGATGAGACTTATTTTAGGATGAGAGAATAAAAAATAAGAGCCCACAATGGGCAACTTGGAACTTCAAGCATCTTAATGATTTTTAATTGAATCCATTCTTTATTTAACTTCTAAGTCCAAAGTTTGACCTTTAAAGTAAGTAGATAAGGGTGCATTTATTATGAGGTTAACATATCTTTAAAGTAAATAAATAAGGGTGCATTTATTATTTATTTTATTTATAAATGTTTCATGATTTTACTTTTAATTACTTACCCTACTTAAATTTAAAGCTGGATATATCTCAAATTTGAAAACAAGCATACTTCACAATGATTTTTCTAATTTTAATTGTCTATATATACACCTTAGCCAACCAATTCGTTTATTAAGGCCATCTAAGTCATAGTGCGTTGTATAGTAAAATCACCATATGGAAAGATAATGTATTGAATATTAATTCCTTTGAAAATGAAAGGTGCAGTACGAATTAGGTAGGTTTTTATTTTTATTTGTTTTAGAAATTAGGTAGATTTTAATCAAATGCCTTGTTTTTTTATTAATTAAATACAAATGTAAAAGAATTTTTTAGTTCTGACAAAAAAGATTTTTATCTTCATAGAAAAATTCTTTAAAACTCTTATTAACATATATATAAACATACTCTAATTATTGTCTCTATTCTGTTTAGGGGAAAAAAGGGAACATTTCGATAAAAAAAAATTTGTAAGTTAATTATAGAAGAGAAATAAATTTTATAAAAAAAACATTTAACTTTTATAAAAATTGAAGTGTGTGAGTTAGTTTAATTTATTAAAAATTAAGTTCGGTTTTCTTCTTTTATAAATACTCACGATGAAACAAATCAAAATTAAAATTAAAAAAATACTCCCATGAAGTTTTTCTGAGATATAAAGAAACGTATACAATATCCCAAATCAAGCTCAAATATTTGTGGAACTCTATTTGAATTTTTTTTATTATATTTTAGTATAAATCAAGACTTAAGTTTGAATTCAGCTCAATCTGACGTATAATTTTGCAAATTTTATAGCAAAACATTTGACTAAAAATAATTTATTTGACGTTTTACACGACAACGGTGTCGTTATGCGGCTGCTGATATTTATTCAAAGTTTATCAAATTTTCAACAATATATTAATATATTAAGATGAGTTATTTATTTATTAATTATAATGAATTTTGTGTGTGACTATTAAACTTTATACTCTAACGATTTTTTTATAGTGATTACACTATTTAGATTCATGAACCAACAACAAAATAATTACAAATACTTGGAGTTATATATTTACAAATAACTCAATATGTACCATATAATATTTAGTAAATATCAAATATATAACTTAAGTTTTTGATCAAATAATATCTATATAAAAGTTACATATAAGTAATATCAAAAATAACTAACTACACCACCATCTTCTTGGTGGTCTCTTGCTACACATCTCCCTAGGCCTATCCCTACCATGCTCTCATATTTAGCATAATCATCATAGTCCAACCATATAGAAATAGACAAGGTATGCTAGATTTCCAAAAAGGATCAAACATATAATAAGTATAGAAGAATATTGCTATACAATAGACACCATCATGTACACCAACCAAGCAACACCTCATGGTTTACAACTTATAACCACCAACATAGCATCAACATGTTTGAAGCTCAACACCCAAGCAATTCAAACTTGCACAATAATCATACCATATATTCACCCAACACATATGAACGTCATCAATCCACACCACATTATATGCATACATTATAATTAAAGTATCGTCACACATTCACCTACAAAGATCTTCTAAAGCACTTGAACAATTTTAGTGGTTTGACTTTACAAAACCAACTCGTTTGTTTTCATGCCTCATGAACTTACTAGATTGACAGTTAAATTGGGATACTAATTATCCATATCCTTTTATTTCTTGAGTGTCATCACTTAAATTAGGAAAGTTTGGTTTCATCGTTAAGACTAACATAGCTGGTATATGGGCATACCATGACCTTGACACGCATTATTGAATCACTTGTGGGATTAGTCCATTAACTATCCTTGAGATATCACACAACCTTTTGAGTAATCAATTAAGGGTTATAGCCTTCAACTTTATACCTTATTTCAACATTGACTAAGGACCTAAAGGAGACTCACCAATCCACTCAAAGAGTTTCACACATACTCAACGAGGGTTCTCAACAAATGGTCTCCCAGAACACCATATCAATA